ATCATTCACAGTAGAAACAATGCCCAGCTGCCAGTTCACATGCAAATATCCATAAAATACTTTCCTTTATACTTAGTTTAAATTATGTGCGTGGTTTTCAGGCTAAACCATTTACCATGGAAACAATGCTTAGCCTTAGACCAAAAATCCTCCCTCAGAATACACAAGAATTTAAACCCCTTCAATCAGACAAACCCTCAGAGTTAACCAAGGTAGCCAGGCCATTAACAGTAGAAACAATGCCTGGTTCCCCAGAAAATAATTAAATAAACACAGCGACCAGGTCATTCACAGTAGAAACAATGCCTGGTTCTGCAGAAAACAGCCAAATAAACATAGCCCTGAGCCATTCACAGTAGAAACAATGTTCATGCTTTGGTTGACCCGGTCAATGCATGCAGTCCACCTTCCTCCCACCTTCCCCAAGTTCATCCTTAATCTGCTTTCAATCAGAACAAAGTCAAAACTTAGGCTTCACTCTCACACAATCTTTCCAGYTAGTCTGATTAGGTCATGAAGAGAAAACAAAAACCATAGGGACAATCGCATGCATACAATACTCATACTGCAGGGGGATAGGCAAACATAAGTGATAGTGGGTCATATACATGAAAGATAGTATACTGGACGATTCCCTGCCTCCAGAACTCCTCCTAAGTTCCAGCAGAGCTCCCGCAATCGGTGGGTGGACTCCCCACAGAGTCTTGACGCGGACCTACGGGTTGCAATCCCGCCTGCCACCTTCCCCTCGTAACCAGCAGACTAGACTTAGATTTTGAAAGATAGAAAGAGAAGGGTTTGAGACTCTCAGATATAAGAGGGGTGCTCTCAAACTCGCGCGAGAGGGCCTTGGTACCTTCAGCGCCTGAGGGCCCCGCAACGGTAGCCAAAGTGGCAGCTTGGTCAAACCGGAGCAAACCTGTAGAACTCAACCCTCCTGTCGAACCCTTAATTCGCAGTAATAACCCCATTTCTCAAACCCAGTCGCACTACATAGCGCCCTACAGCAGTTGGCAATAGCAAGCAGCAGCACCGAGTTGTATACAACAATCCACAACGGACGCAGTAGCTGTTTGCGTGCAGTACGTAGTTGCGGTCCGTGCACCGCTAACCGCTGCCCATCATTTGTAGCGTGCTAGGATATTCTAATACGCAGGGCAATGAGTGGTGATAGCGTGGTAGCAAGCTCATCACACCAACGAACTCCTCCTCCAGCGGCTGCAACGGTGCCTCACCAACTGACTATCTCATCTGCACCATGTAGCTGGCCTGTTGTTGCTTTGTCCAGCAGTAAGCGGCATTGCCAACTGTTGAGTGAGCCTGTAGCCCACAGCTTGCCCTTTTCCCAAGTACTCCGAACCTCAATGTGGGCAGCACACTAGCCAGTATGCCACCTCACAACTTGGGCCGATGAAGAGCGCGTCACCTTGCCAACAAATAGGCAAGCAGGCCCATGACTTGCCCTCCCCCGGGCGCTCCCTCAGCGAGTCAGCCAAATTATAGATATGTAGCACTCCTTGTTGCTCCACTAAACTTGGAAGGACAGTGCCGCAGCCCGCAGGTAAGCGCTCAGTCCCTTAGCTCGTCCGCCCCGTTACTTTTGTTTCTTAGGAGATAGGCAGTGCCCTTGTCAACAGGTAAGCCTCCAGACCAACTGCTCGCTCCTCACCTTGCTGCTCACTCCCCCGCTACTCCTCGGTTTGTCAGACATGTGCTGAATTCGGACGAATCTACCGTTGGAGCATCGAAATGTACATTGCTACTACGACCAGCTACGAGGTAAGTCACCCCGCCCTTTGGAGCACAACAACACATGACTCACTCACACCACAGCCGAACCCCCAGACCGTCGGCTTCCACCACCTACTGAGCCGGGGAGCTACCCCTACAGCCGCCCGTCCTCGTTTGCAGGCCGCACAGACACCCCGGATCGAGCGACCTCCACCTCCATGTACCTGGCCCGTAATGGTGGTCAGATTCGCTGCCGTGACTGTGCACTTCGTCACGGATCCCCTTCAAGTACGAGTGCCGCTGGTGTGGTGAGTCCTCCTCCCTCTCTCTCTCTCTGTCCATTCCAACCCGCTGGCCTGCTCACTCCCACCACCCTTAGTCTTTTCCTGATGCACCTGGCGTCAACCACGTCCAGGTTCACTCAGTTTTCTTTTCAGCCTTTCCCCGCCATACACAGCGCAAGCATTCTCTTACTAATCTCTCTTCTTACTAACCTTTCTCCAAATCCGACTTCGCCAATCGGTTCTTTACGCCAAAAAAAACTCCCCGTAGCCTTTTGTCTCGCTCAAATCCATCGAGATTTGAGCGAGATATAAACTTTCTATTCTCGTCGAGTTTTCCTCCTCGACACTCCCCGCGCACTCACTTTTCTACTAACCTCCCATCCTACTAACTCCCACCTAAAACTGACCCCATATCCCAATTCGCAACTACCTAAAACCCGTATGTCGTGCCTTTCCTCGCTTGATTCCGCAAGGAATTGAGCGAGATACGCTCTTCCTTGTTCCCTTTCCAACACCCTGCCATAGCCACCGGCGCACGGACCTTCCTTCTTTACTCTTATTCTACTAATCTAACGTAAGAATTGA